GATTGCACAGGGCCAAGGAGCAAGGCAATTAGAGCATCTGGAGAGGCAGCATGAGGTCCAGACCGGACAAGGAGGGCCTGGGCACCTCCTTGGTAGTACAGTAGTTAGAGCACTGTGGAGGTTCCAGTGAGGCTCTCTGAAGATTAGCGGGCAGAAAGGGAAGGTTGTGGTCAGAAAAAGGATTTTGATAATGTACATAAATTGATAATGTACATATTTATGGGGTACATGTGATATTCTGCCACATGCATACAGTATGTAACGAGCAAATCAGGACAATTAGGATATCCATCATCTTTATCATTTCCTTGTGTTGGGAACATTCCAAATCCTCTTCTAGCTATTTCAAAATATACAACAAATTATTGTTTACTATAGTCACCCTGCTAGGGTGACTATATAGAATATAGTCTGCCTTCAAAGTGATAGTGTCTTTTTGTGTGCTGATGAGTTTACTAGAGGGCTGGTAGCCCCTAGATAGCTTCTACTGTGCTATTGAACACTAGAACTTACTCCTTCTGTCTATTTTTATACCCATTAACCAACAATCTTCATCCCCCATCACACCCCACTACCCTTCCTAGCCTCTGGTAAGCATAATTCCACTCTCTACCTTTATGAGATCAACTTTTTGAGCTCCCACGTATGAGTGAGGACATGCCATATTTGTCTTTTTGTGGCCTGGCTTATCTCACTTAACATAATGTCCTCCAGTTCCATCTAGGTTACTGCAAATGACAGAATTTTATTCTTTTTTATAGCTAAATAATATTCTATATGTACTACATTTTCTTTATCCATTCATTCACTGATGGACACAGGTTGATTCCATATCTTGGCCATTGAGAATAGTGCTACAGTAAACATGGGAATGCAGATATTTCTTTGATATACTGATTTCCTTCTTTTGGATATATACCCAGTAGTGGGATTGCTGGATCATATGGTACATCTATTTTTAGTTTTTTGAGGAACCTCCATACTGTTTTCCATAGTGGCTGTGCTAATTTACATTCCCACTAACAGTATACTAGTGTTCCCAAAAAGGGGACATTTTTAAATGGAGCTATTCGGTTAAGTTTATCACCAGCGGCCAATGATTTAATTAATTATGCCTATGTAATGAAGCCTTCATAAAAACACCAAAAGGACAGAGAGCTTCTGAATAACTGAACACATGGAGGTTCCTTGAGGGTGCCTGGAGAGGGCATGGAAGCTCTGTGCTCCTTCCCACATTCCTTGCCCTATGCATCTCTTTATCTGTATTCTTTATAATATCCTTTATAATAAACTGGTAAATGTAAATAAAGTGTTTCCCTGAGTTCTGTGAGCCACGCTAGCAAATTAATCAAACCCAATGAAGAGGTCATGAGAGCCCCAATTTGTAACTGGTCTGTCAGAAGCACAGGTCAAATGAGCTGGAGTTTGAGATTGGCATTGGAAGTAGGGGCAGTCTTGTGGGACTGAGTCCTCAACCCGTGGGATCAGACACTATATCCAGGTAGGTAGTGTGGGGATTTAATTGAATTAGAGAACACCCAGTTGGTGTCCACCGAAGAATTGATTGCTTGATTAATGTGTGAGGAAACCCCCGACACATCTGGTGTCAGAAGTGTGTTGTGAAAGTATAGTAGGAGAAACTCAATTTATTTATTTCTATATATTCTTAGCCCTGTATTAGGGGAAGGGGATGGCCCCAGAAAAAAGCTGGCCAGACACACGTCTGAGGCCTGTCCCACCCAAAAGATACAGCCAAAGGGCATGGTTGAAGTTCAAGTTCTAAGGTAAGGAAAAAAGAGAGAGATTGGGCAGAGAACCCTGGCATTCTGCAGCTTTGGAGAACCCCTCACTTTCTTCTTATCAAAGGAAATGGCACTACACAACAGGAGAGAGAGGGATAGATAAAAATTGCATGTTTAAAATATTTCAAAATTGCTTTTGTTTTATATTGTTTTTATTATTTAGGGTTTTTTTTATATATTCTTATAACTTTAAACAATAAAGATTTTTTTTTTAAAGCAACAGCAGGGACTCTATCTAGTCTCTGAGAGATCAGGAAAGGAATTGGTAGGTACCCTCCATAGCCCCACTCTAGTGCCTATGCCCATCTTCACTGCTTGCCTTCAGGAGCCACCGAAGGGATGGCTTTGCTGCCATATACCAGCAGGAGCCATGAAGGAGGCTGGGTGGAAAGAGCTCCATTAGTCTCCTCTTTATCCACCTCTCCTTCTTGGTCCTGGGCTGCATCTCCTCAAGTGGCCAGCAGAGGGTCCTTTCATTGGCAAACACACTTCAAAATCATTCTGTCCAAAAATGAGAGACTGTCATGGTGGGCAAGGGAGGTATGGTGGACAAGGGACAAGGGACCTGGAACGGTGGAAGCAGAACTGGGTCAGTTCCAAAGTCCCAGTCCAATTCCTTTTCAGCTCTCATGGACCCCGCTAACCCTCCTTTTTTCATAGGCCCACAAAGCTGCTTACCAACTGCTTCTCCCACAAATCCCTGCCCAGAGCAGCCTGTGTCAGTTAGATTAGCTCCTGGTACTAAGCTGAGACAGGAATTTTCTGCTTCTGCCTTGCTCCTCTTAAACCAATTATCATCAACACATGTTTGGGTCCAAGGAACCTGCCCTGGATGGAGGCTGTGTCTCGGTAGTAGGGGCGAGGGAGTCTGGGGTGGCAGTTGGGAGGATCCTAGAGAAAGGGGATGATCAACTTCAGTAATGGGAGGAGGTCTACTTGGGGAAATGTGGGAGGGTCCATCTGGGAACTGAGGGAAAGCCTGTAGTGGGAAATAGGGAGTTTGTTTTGAGGAAGGTGAGGTCTAGATTAAGGAAAGAAGGTTCTTTTGAGCAATGCTTCTCAAAGTGGTCCCTGGACTAGCAGCATCAGCATCATGTGGGAACTTATTAGTATTACAGAAATGTAAATTCCCTGGCTCCACCCCAGATACTGAATAAGAAACTCTGGGAGTGGAGCCCAGCAATCTGTGTTTTAATAAGCTCTCCAGATGATTCAAATGTGAGCTAAAGTTTGAGAACCACTGTTCTTGAGTTATGAGGTCTATTCTAGGACTTAGAAGTGCATGTGCTCAGGAATCAAAGGTCCGTCTTGGGGGATATGTGGTGGGAGTGTGGAGTCTCTCTAGAATGGAGAGGGTCTGTCCTAGTAAACCTCTGGAAGGTTGGAAAGGTTCTTATCTTATAATGAGAAAGGTTCATTCGAGGGATGGAGATGGATCTGCTTTATAAAATGGGGAGGTGACAAGATTAAAGAATGAAGAAGTTTGTCGTAGTAGATAAAACCATAGTTTAGAATCACTAAGACCTGGATTTGAATCCCTGGATCCCTGGATCCATCACACTAGCTGTGTGACTTCATATTTGTACTTAAATTTTCTGAGCCTCAGTTTCCTTATCTGAAACATGGGAAGATAATGCTAACCTCAAAGTTGTTGCGAGGACTGGTTAAACTGTTTAGTCAATGGATATTTATTGAATGCATTTTCTGTGTACAAATTCTAGGAATGTAGGGATGAAATAGACCTAGCCCTTTACTCAGAGATCAATCGTATCTCTAGGTTAGGTGCCTAGCACATAGTAGGTATTCTATAATAGAGTTTGCCCTCCTTTTCCAAGGAAATGAGAGATTTTCTGAGGGAAGCAAATGAGCCTGTATCATGGTGTGACCTGAAGCATAAGGATGTATGGTCTATTCTCAAGAATAAAAAATAATCATCTATTACTAAGCACGTGGATTCTTGAAACTCATAAGAACCTTTGGAGGCAGAATATATGACATTTTTTATCATCCTTGTTACACAGATGAGGCTCAGAGAAGTGGAAAAATTTGCTTAAGAGTACAGAACTAGACTGGGCGCAGTGGCTCACGCCTGTAATCCTAGCATTCTGGCAGGTGGATTGCTCAAGGTCAGGAGTTCGAAACCAGCCTGAGCAAGAGCGAGACCCCGTCTCTACTATAAATAGAAAGAAATTAATTGGCCTACTAATATATATATAGAAAAAATCAGCTGAGCATGGTGGTGAATGCCTGTAGTCCCAGCTACTCGGGAGGCTGAGGCAGTAGGATCGCTTGAGCCCAGGAATTTGAGGTTGCTGTGAGCTAAGCTGATGCCACGGCACTCACTCTAGCCTGGGCAACAGAGCGAGACTCTGTCTCAAAAAAACAAAACAAAAGAGTACAGAACTAATAAGATAGTGCCAAGGTTAGAATGCAGATCTGATTTCTCAGGACATGGAAGATTTACTCACAAAATGGAGAGAGGGTGTTCTAGAGAATGGAGGAACCAGTTCCAGGGAAGGGAAGAGCCTTTGATGGGGAATGGGTGAATGGCAGAGGTTCTAACCCAGGAAATGGAAAGTTAATCTAGGACAGTGGCTATCAAATTTACCTGCCAAGTGGGATTCTTTGTGGAACTTCTAAAAATACTAATGCCTGGATCCTACCCTAGGTATCCAGAATGAATTGGTCTGGAGTAGTACCTGAACATCTTTTGATAGCCCCTGGACAGAGGCTAACTTGAGAGCCTAACTCTCAGCTAAGGGTGAGGACTACTGCTCTGGGGCATGGGGTATGAATCCCACAGGATGGAAAGCTGATAGATGCCTTGGAAATGTTGGTCTCAGAAGATGGGGAATGAGCAATGGTGTGTTCAAGAAAGGAGAGGAAACTTACCTGGGAATTGGAAAATTGTGTGTCAAGGAATGGAGTGGGGTGGTGTTAAGAGATAGATGGAGGTTAACTCAGGAAGGTGAAGAACCTGTCTAGAAAATGGAGGGAGATAGTCCATTTGAGAGTAAGATTCTGAGAGTTTCAATTAGCAGGATGGGTAAAAGCAGGGCCTTTGGGGTCTAATACCTGCTCTGCTACTAACTAGACATGCCACTTGGGCATATTACTTAACCTCCCTGTGCCTCAGTTTCTTGGTCTCTACAGGGGTAGTAAAACCTGCCTCATAGGGACATTATGAGGATTAAATGAGATAATGCCTGGTACATAGTAGTTGCTCAATAAATGCAACTGTTGGAGAATGAGAAAGTCCACAGTAGTATCTTGGAGATTAACGTGGAGAATGGAGGATCCTTCTGGAGAATGGGATGGTTGGTCCTGAGGAATTGTGGGGATGTGGGGCATGGGGTGGAGGGAAAGGCTGGATCCAAAACCCACATAAAACTCACAGTTACAGGGTGGGGCCTGCAGATGTCCTCCAGGGGCCGCCAGCTTACAGAGCTGTGGAGAGGCAGGCGAGGGGGGAGGAACGGGGGAGAGATTTGACTGCTAGTAACCTCTCAGCTGCCGCAGTAAGAGAAGCCTTGAGGTGGCAGCTGCACCAGCAGCCTCAGCAGCCTCCCCTCCCATCCATCTCTGCCATGTGACAGGTGGGAACTTAAAAGCTCAGGTCACGTGTCTTGGCTAGCTAACCTACTTACCCCTTGAAGACATAGAGGCTAGGGTTGGCCGGGGCCAAGAGGAATTGCCCAAGAAAGGGGCAGAGCAGGGGAAAGCCCCAGACTTGCTCTTGGGAATCTACGTTTGAAGGTTTGTGGGGCAAAGGAGAGAATGCACAGGTGTATGAGAAGATGTCAAAGGCAGTGTGTGCTTGCCTTGGCACACAGGTGCCTCCAGGATCACGCGTGTGCCTGTCTTGAAGGCCCGAATCTGGCTGGGTGAATAAAGATTTCCACAGTTGAGCAGCCACTATAACCTTGGAGCTGCCTGCAAGCTCTCCCAAAGTTGCTATCCTCTGTCCCTTCTTAACTCATGCCCCTTGTCCCTTCTTAAATAATGCCCTCACTCTTAGAGAGGGAAAGTGTGAATGTGGAGGGCAGAGGATGTTTTGACGTCCGAAGACACTTGCTTTTTTGAAAGCCTTTGTACCTAGTTTGGAAATTTGTGGTAGGAGGCCTGAGCTCAAGGGGTAGAACTGAGGGAAATTGTTGGGTGTGTGTGTTCAGACAGAATGACAGCTTCACAATCCCTTGAGAGTGACGGAATCTGAGCCCCACTCCCCCCCACACACATACCATTGTCTTGTCTGTCTTCCAGGGGGCCTGTCCCCACTGAGTGACTCCAGCTCTCCTTTCTTCGGCGCAGCCAAGTCAGCGGTTCCCCGCCAACCCCCAGTCCTGGGGCCACAACTGCACGTCCTCAGGCCCCCGCCCCACGGCCGCTGCTCTTGTCTTTGCCATCCTTGCTCCCCGCCGGCTACGGGGCGGCGCGGGCCCTTTAAGAGCAGCAGGACCCGCTAGCAGTCGCTTGGAGAAGAGCGCAGTCGCCCGGCGGCTCGGAGGACACCTCGCCGGGACCGGCTCAGGGAACCGGGTGTGCCAAGCCAAGAGGAGTCGAGGCGCGACCTCAACCAACCCCTCCCCAACCGAGCCATCTCCTGTGACAGGAGGCTCGCCTCTCCTCGTCTCGTCCTGTCCTGGCCCCGCCCCGGCCCGGGCCACCGGGACGGGAGCCGGGACCGGGACCGAGTGCCGCAGCCCGAGGCAGGTGAGCCCTGACTCTCCATCCCGGCCCCCTGCGGCCGCGCTAAGCATCCGGGCCGCACCGGCCCAGGGGCGCGTCAAGGTGACTAGGCAGGCGGGAGATGGGGCGGAGGGTCGAGCCTGTCATGGGGGCTGAGGTGACCGAGGGGGCTTTGAGTCTGGGCGGTGCGCCTGTCTTCGGGGAGCGCCTGGGGCGTGCGGGCCGGCCGGCCTGGGCGTGAAGCCCAGAGGTGGGGAGGAGGACGAAGCTGGAGGCCCAGAGCCTTCTCTTCTCCGCCTTTCCCGGCCCACCCTGCCAACCTGACCTTCCAGCTGGCAGCCTCTTCTCCCCGCCCCCTATCCCTCCAGTCCCCAGGGGCTGCTGGCCTGCGGGGTAAGGAGATTAGAGGCGCCTCAGGGAGGAAGAAGTGGGTGAGGGCTTCCAGGGGCCCGGCGGGGGCCGGGCTGGGGCTGGGGCTGTCTGGGACCGAGCAGAGGTCGGGGCTGAGCATTGCTGTGTTTGGGGGTGGGGGCAGATGCCCAAGCCACGGCGAGTGGGGTGCTAACAATCTCCGATCTGCCCTAAGGAGGCGGGGAGCGGGGCGGGGGCAGCATAAGAACACAGGAGAGCTTTGCACCGAGACTCGGGGTCTGCCCCGAACTGAGCAGGCCTTCTCCCTGCAGGCGGGCGGCGCGATGGCGGAGAAGGCGCTGGAGGCCGTGGGCTGTGGACTGGGGCCGGGGGCTGTGGCCATGGCTGTGGTGCTGGAGGACGGGGCGGAGCCCCCTGTGCTGACCACGCACCTGAAGAAGGTGGAGAACCACATCACTGAAGCCCAGCGCTTCTCCCACCTACCTAAGCGCTCATCCGTGGACATCGAGTTCGTGGAGCTGTCCTATTCTGTGCGGGAGGGGCCCTGCTGGCGCAAAAGGGGTAGGGAGCTATGGGCCCTCTTGAGTTACCTCTCCTGGAGCAGGAGGCCCGGGTGGCCCCTGTTCAGCGAGACCAGTACCAGACGGTTCTGTGGGACACTAACATCTGACCCCAGCCCCTCTCTCACTGTGCACGGAGCTGAGGTGCCAAGATCTGCACTCCCCACACCTGTGAGCACTGTGGGACGCTAGGTTCAGTTGGGTATTGAAGCCTTCTCTTCTGAAGAGACCTATAGCCTTTGGTCCTTGAGTGGTCCTTGATGAGTTTTCCTGCTTTATTTTTGTAGAGGATTCCTGCCTGTGAGGGCTGGTATGAGAAAGTGGGGGCGGAGGGGCTGTGACTGCAGGGCTTACCAATGCCCTTGGACCTGGTTTTGAAGATGTTCTCATTCCTGTCATCTTACTCCATTCTTGCCACAGTTCTCCAAAGCAGGGAGAGTGGAGGTTGGGCAGGATAGATGTCATCTCCATGTTACTAATAAGGAAACTGAGGCCTAGGGAAGTTCAGTGACTTGACTAATGTCACACAGCTAATAAGTAGCAGAGCTGGGACCAGATGTCTGGTTTCTCAGCTTCCTATACATTATCTTTTCCTATCTCTTAACTACCCTGGGACAACAGTCCCATCTCCTGCCCTTTCCCTCCTGTCAGGACAGTTCCCCTGGACCCTGGCCATCCTCTGCATGCCCTGTCTTGGACAGCTTGAGCTGGCAACAGAGGAGCTGGGGCTGTTTCCCAGAGCCAGGGTGTGGGCCAGGGGTGGGGCTGGGACATTGTTCTCTGAGGTTTCAGAAATAGATTTGGGGTGCCTCAGAGCAGGGCTGAGCATGAGTTGTCTCTGCACTCTCCACCCTCACTCCCAGGAGTGACCAAAAGGTCACAGGGCCAAATGAAACAGAGGCATCCGGGCTCCCTGCCCAGCGTCCTGTCTCTAAGCAGCCTCTCTAGGTCTTGAGACCAGCTCTGGGCAAAATGTTATTTCCTTAGCCCTTTCATTTCCTCATAACTTTAAGGAGAAACAAATATAAAAAAAGAAAAGCTGTAGATGGGCCAGCTCAATGGTTGCTTCAGCTTACCATCCACACCCCTTGGCACCCCTGACTGGGTCCTTCCCTCCTGTGACCTTGCAGCCCCATTCTGCTCTACTGGCAATTTTTTTTTTTTTTTTGAGACAGAGTCTTGCTTTGTTGCCTAGGCTAGAGTGAGTGCCATGGCGTCAGCCTAGCTCACAGCAACCTCAAACTCCTGGGCTCAAGCGATCCTTCTGTCTCAGCCTCCCAAGTAGCTGGGACTGCAGGCATGCGCCACCATGCCCGGCTAATTTTTTCTATATATATTAGTTGGCCAATTATTTTCTTTCTATTTATAGTAGAGACAGGGTCTTGCTCTTGCTCAGGCTGGTTTCCAACTCCTGACCTCGAGCAATCCTCCCGCCTCAGCCTCCCAGAGAGCTAGGATTACAGGCGTGAGCCACCGTGCCCCGGCTCTACTGGCCATTTTGCCATCCCTTTCATCCCTTGCCTCTTCCTCCGCCCTCTACCTTCCCCTCTCTGCCTTCTCTTTTCCTTTGAATCCCTCTTGCCTTCTCTAGAACACACAGAGCAATTAGGGGTAGGCAGAAAAGAAAAAGAGCAAAGGGGAGGGAGAGGGGAGAGTTCTATCTTTTCCTGGGTAAGGATTTGTCATCAGCCTCCCCTAATTATATATGGTATTTCTTATTTTTCAAAACACCTTCCTATTAATTATTATTAATGATCTTACTTAATATTCACAATAACCCTATTAAGTCCTTAGAAGGAGATATTACTATCTTTCTTTTCTAGATGAGGAATTGGAAGCCCTAAAGATTAAGTGACTTGACAAAATTGCAAAAGAGTTACTGACCATTGCAGGACTAGAATACTGGTGCCTCTCCAGCCAAAAGTCCTGGAAGGCCCCTTCCGTGCTAAGCAGTCGTATGTCGAAAGTCATGAGTTCCCAGTCACTTGTAGGCTGTGTGACCTTGGGCAGGCTGCTTACCACCCTCTTTGGCCTTGCTTCCCTCATCTGTAAACAGGGATGATGAGAATACCCACCACACAGGCTTGTTGGGAGGCTCAATTGGACAATATCTGTGAAAAGCAAGTGTGAGATGATATTTGCGTTAGGTACAAGTACTTGGCTAAGGCTAATTGAGGGGAAGGTTCATCATTGACAGTTTCTTCTCCTGCAAAAGAGATCACTTCCTGTGAGTGGCTCTGAAAGACATCAGCTGGAGTGCAGCACCAGAGGTCTTTCTGATTGGGGGAGGAGCACTGAGGAGGGGGTTGGAGCTCATGGCTTCCCCTCCTCAGGAAAGAACTTTATGTGTGACCCTGGGTGAGTCATTGGATGTCCCTGGGCCCCAGTTGCCACATCCATGTTGTTAGAGCAGCAGCTGCAGTGTCAAGCTTTGTAACCATAAAGCACCGTCCAGGCAGTTGGTACGATCAGATCCTGGCTGTGGGCAGGAGCTGCTCCCCCTTCTGACAGGAAGTGTCCAGAGGGACAGCTGGGTCCAGAGCATGGTCCTAGGTATAGTGGAGGGAAGGTAAAGATGGCATCCCTTCACTGTCTCTGCTAAGGAGGTAGAGTGGGGAGGGAATTGGGCTCTGTGGGGGTCGGCGGAGGGTGGCAGTAAGCAAAGTGCCAGGTGAAGGATTGGTGTCTCTCCCTTACCAAGGCAGGTGTGCAAAAACAGCAGGCAATGCCCTTCTCATTGGCTTCAGCCTTCCTCTCTACTCCTATGTCTCACCAGGTAACTCCATGTACACTCTGCCTGCTGTTCCTGGATTGTGATAGACAGATAGATGCTTTTGTACCACAGAGCTTTTCCTCACAAAGCCTGGAGGGCCCCTGCCTTCCCTCTGCCTTTTGGAATCCTGATCATCTTTCAAGGCTTAGCTCAAATGCTACCTCTTCCTTTTTTTTTTTTCCTTGCACATCTTGTTTCTTAACTGCCAATCAAATGCTACCTCTTCCATGAAGCCACTCCTGATTTCCCCTTTGCCCTTTCACCCTCATTGATTCCATTTTCTGTATTCTCATGGCACATTATCTGTACTTCTGTTATAAGCCTTATTTTATTTTTCTTCAGATCATAGATGTTTTCTTGTCTATCTTACCTAGACTGTAACCTTCTTGAGGGCAGAAACTGTGTCTTCCTCATTTTTTTGTCCAGTGTTTGGTACAGAGCTTGGTGTATAGTAGATATCAATAAGGATTTGTCAAATGGAATTAATAATAAAATGTCACTTTTTAAATGCACTCTATATGCCAAGCACTGTGTCATATGCTTTACATATATTATCTCATTGAATATTTATAACAACCCTATGAGATAGGTATATCATCCTCATTTTACAGATGAGGGACCTGGAGCTCAGAGGGGTTAAGCAACTTGCCCGAGGTCACACAGCTGGTAAGTGTGGAGCCAGAATTTGAACCCAGATCCACCTGACTCCAAACCGGTGCTCTAAATGCATATGCTGCCTCCCAATGAATGCATGAAAGGTGAGATTTTACTGGGCCATGTTAGGGGCTGTAGAGACAAGCCTGGTGGGCAGAGAGAGCACAAAGAAGGAGGCTTTTTCAGAATGAGCCAAAAGCTCTGAGAACACACACTCATAAAACACTTACTGAGCATCTACTACATGCCAGATAGTCTGCTGAGGTTACAAAGATGAGTAAGACACAGACCCTGCCCCCAAGGAGCTCACTGTCTAAGAGGCTGGGGGAGTGGGGCAAGTGACAGGCACATCGAGTGACAAATATGCTGGCATATGAGAAGTGCTATGGGGACACAGAGGACAGTCAGCCAGCTTGGGCCTGATTAGTGGGAAGGTTTTCCCGGAGGGGGTGACAGTGATTGCTGTGATTACAGAAGGGGATCAGGAGCTTCTATTACCTTGACCCCCTCTCCACACCCATCCATGAGATGTGTGGGTTTTCCCATGGCCTTCAGAAAAGGAGGTACTTTGATATCAGTAGTGGTTATTTCTAAAGAGACAGGATAAGAGGGATGGGTTACTGTTGGGGCTCTGCAGGTTGCTCCTCCATCCTCCTAACCAGTCACACAGAGTAAGGACTGCCTATTTTACTGCTAGCCATGGCTGCCCCTAAGACTTTGGGGGTGCCTCTGTTCACTATAGCCCTGACCAAAAATTCCTCCCTCCCTGCTACAGGTTATAAGACCCTTCTCAAGTGCCTCTCAGGTAAATTCCGCCGCCGGGAGCTGATTGGCATCATGGGCCCCTCAGGGGCTGGCAAGTCCACGTTCATGAACATCTTAGCAGGATACAGGTGAGAATGAGGCTGGGGTGGAAAGGGGGCAGCACCCAGGAAGAAGGATCCCTGGGGCAGCATGGGAGCTTTTGGAAGTCGCTGTGAACCCCATCCCCAACAAATGCCCCTGTAGAGAGTCTGGAATGAAGGGACAGATCCTGGTCAACGGGCGGCCAAGAGACCTAAGGACCTTCCGCAAGATGTCCTGCTACATCATGCAGGATGACATGCTGCTGCCACACCTCACAGTGTTGGAAGCCATGATGGTGAGGGCTGGATGGTCATCCCCTCCTCCTAGCAGCCCCCTGCTATCTGATGTCCCCACCCTCCCTATTGGCTGGGGGTCAAGGTAGTGCCCCCCTCCTCACACACATACCTTTCTTGCCTATTCTCTGGGCCCCAGGTCTCTGCTAACCTGAAGCTGAGCGAGAAGCAAGAGGTGAAGAAGGAGCTGGTGAGTGTGGAAGGGGAGACACTAGATGGCTGCCCTCATGATGCTATTGAGTTCTGGGGCTCTGAGCTGGGGGTGGGAGACTGGCGGCCAAGCCAGGGACAAGGGACTTGAGGGAGATGCTTTTTTTTTTTTGAGACAGAGTCTCACTTTGTTGCCCAGGCTAGAGTGAGTGCCATGGCGTCAGCCTAGCTCACAGCAACCTCAAACTCCTGGGCTCAAGCGATCCTCCTGCCTCAGCCTCCCCAGTAGCTGGGACTACAGGCATGCGCCACTATGCCTGGCTAATTTTTTCTATATATATTAGTTGGCCAATTAATTTCTTTCTATTTATAGTAGAGATGGGGTCTTGCTCTTGCTCAGGCTGGGTTTGAACTCCTGACCTTGAGCAATCCACACGCCTCGGCCTCCCACAGTGCTAGGATTACAGGCGTGAGCCACTGCGCCTGGTCGGCTGGGAGATGCTTTTTGAAGTTGGGGTGGTGCCTGGGGGAAGCAGAGACTCTGAAGCTGACCTGGGGTGGGTGGGGGTGGGGCCAGGTGACAGAGATCCTGACAGCACTGGGCCTGATGTCCTGCTCCCACACGAGGACAGCCCTGCTCTCTGGCGGACAGAGGAAGCGCCTGGCCATCGCCCTGGAGCTGGTCAACAACCCCCCTGTCATGTTCTTTGATGAGCCCACCAGGTACCTCTCCCCTGCCTCTCCCACTGGGAGACCCCCCTCTCCCCTCCACCCTGAGCCAGGGCTGGAGGCTGCATCTTCTCCATGCCTGGGAACCAAAGCCTCTGTGTGCAGCCTCCTGGGGCCGCGATAAGGGCTTACTTCTCATCTGCATCCTTGCCAAGCCCCATCCTTCCCCCAGGCAGAGACCTGCATGTCTTCTTTGATTGATGCTCCCTCTCCCGTCTCCCACAGCCACCAACCACCAAGCCCTGTTGATTCTACTCCCTTTTGATGTCTCTCAGATTCTCCCTGTCCCATCGCTAGTGCCAGTGCTTAAGTTCAGGACATCATCAACAGACTTGATCTCGTCTCCAGTGTCTCCCAGCCAATCCTTCTTCCCAAGAGCAGCCAGGGTGAATTTTCGAAAAGACAAGTCTGGTTGTACTCATTCCTTTTCTTAAAAACATGCAATGATTCTTATTTGTCCTCAGAATAAAGTCAGGTGACTTACAAGGTCCTAGTCTGAATCTACTTTACCAGCCTCCTGTCTTGTATTTTATGCTCTGATAATACCGAGATACTTGTAATTCCCTGGTCAAGCCACATGTTCCATGCCTCTAGGCTTTGCCCATGCTGTGTCTTCTGCTGGAATGCCCTTTACCTCCGTGCCTCCTCTTCCACATTCACCTAGCTTGGCTCTTACTCCTTCTAGGCTCACTCAGAAACCTTCTCTGACTACCCTCCAACACCCTGCTACAGTGGAGCTGAATCCTCCCCATCTCACCCATGTATCTACAGCACTTTCCGAGTTACCTAAAATCATCTGTGTGCTTGTCTATCCCTCCAGACCAGAGTGTATGTCTTATTTACGCATCATTTTAATCCCAGTGCCTGGCATACAACAAGTGCTTAATATATGCTTGTTAGGTCGGGTACAATGGCTCATACCTGCAATCCCAGCAATTTGGGAGGCTGAGGTGGGAGGATCACTTGAGGCCAGGAGTTTGAGACGAGCCTGGGCAACTTAGGGAGACCTCACCTTTACAAAAAATAAGAAAAAGTAGCTGGGTGTGGTGGCACACGCCTGTAGTCACAGCTACTCAGGAGGCTAAGACCAGAAGATCACTTGTCCAGGAATTTGAGGTTACAGTGAGTTATGATTGTGCCACCACTGCACTCTAGCCTGGGTGACAAAGTGAGACACTATCTCAAAACAAATAAATAAATATATAAATATGCTTTTTTTTTTTTTTTGAGACAGAGTCTCACTTTGTCGCCCCAGGCTAGAGTGAGTGCCATGGTGTCAGCCTCGCTCACAGCAACCTCAATCTCCTGGGCTCAAGCGATCCTCCTGCCTCAGCCTCCCCAGTAGCTGGGACTGCAGGCATGCGCCACTATGCCTGGCTAATTTTTTCTATATATATTAGTTGGCCAATTAATTTCTTTCTATTTATAGTAGAGATGGGGTCTTGCTCTTGCTCAGGCTGGTTTCGAACTCCCGACCTTGAGCAATCCACCCGCCTCAGCCTCCCAGAGTGCTAGGATTACAGGCGTGAGCCACCACGTCTGGCCTAAATATGCTTTTAAAACTGAACAGTGCTCTGGACTTCTGGGTACCCCTAAGTGCCTGAACCATACAGGATATTGGGGGTGGTGCGAGGGGTGGCCAGAGTGACCTCTTCATGCCGGCTCCATCCCCTTCAGGACAACTGCCCCACCCCAAACACTCCCTTCTCTTGGCCCCCCCCATCTCACTGGGCCCCTGGTGGCCTCTCTCTGGACAGCGGTCTGGACAGCGCCTCTTGTTTCCAAGTGGTGTCCCTCATGAAGTCCCTGGCGCAGGGGGGCCGTACCATCATCTGCACCATCCACCAGCCCAGTGCCAAGCTCTTTGAGATGTTTGACAAGGTGAGTGCCTATAGGCCTCAAAGAAGATTGGGGGTTGGTAGAGGTGCTGGCGGGTCCCTGCCTGGCCTGTTGTGAGTGTCTTCCTCACCCTTCTCTTTCTGCTGCAGCTCTACATCCTGAGCCAGGGTCAGTGCATCTTCAAAGGCGTGGTCACCAATCTGATCCCCTATCTGAAGGGGCTTGGCTTGCACTGCCCCACCTACCACAACCCAGCTGACTTCAGTGAGTGGGGGCTGTTGGCAGGGGCTGGGATGTAGCGCTGGCCAAACCTGGGGCTCAGGTCCTGCACTCAGGCCTCCTACAGGCAGAGATCTCACTGTCACCTGCCTTTGTCACATACCCAAGGAGGGGCTGACATGTCCTTGGGAAGTAAGGGTGAATCTTAGCTGAGCACTCTGCTCTGTGTCCCCCAGTCATCGAGGTGGCCTCTGGCGAGTATGGAGACCTGAACCCCATGCTGTTTAGGGCTGTGCAGAATGGGCTGTGCACCATGGCTGAGAAGAAGAGCAGCCCTGAGAAGAATGAGGTCCCTGCCCCCTGCCCCTCTTGCCCTCCGGTGAGTAGGGGTGAAGAGGGCAGAGAAGGCAGAGTGGGGGAGGGGAGACGGACCCATGGACAATGACTGCCTTGCCAAAGAGGCTGTTTCCTGGAGGCATCACAGTTGTTGGGTACTAGGAAGAACCTAGGCCTTGGGACCGGCCTATTATTAGCAGCTGTGTGACTTTAGGCATGTTACCTTTGTGAACTTCAGTTTCCTCACCCACTTATTCATTCAGCAAATTCTTGTTGAGCATCTATAGTGCGTTGTCCTCAGGGCTGGCACAGTGCCCATCTGGTAAGCAAGACCAATGCTGTCCCTGGCCTAGTGGCCAGTGTGGCTTACTGTCTTCTCTAACTTGGAGATGATGATACTACCTCACAGGGTTACTGGGGGGACTAATTAGATAATCACGTAAAGTTCTTAGCACTGTAGCTGGTACAGCAGGTGTTTGCCCAGTGCCAGTCCTCTTCCTTAAATGAGGTACTATGACCCTTGAAGATCAGAAAGGTTAGTTATCATTGTTATTGTTGTCATTATCATTATTAAATAATATTATTGTGAAATGGGTGGTATAAAAGAATTATACCATTAGGGTTAATGTCTTCCAAAGGATTAAAGAAGTGACTGATCTACTATTGGCCACCGCGGGTGTTCATGACTTCCTTTCCATCTCCTCCCTCCCAAGTTTTTGGCCCACCCCTTGTGTCTCTCTCTCAATCTTGCTCTGATTCACACCCCTAAGCTCAGCTTCCAGGTACACAACTTCACTAAGGAGGATCCTCCTGTAGAGCCGGAGGACCCCTGCCCTGGGGAAGGGCTCAGGGGTCTTCTCATTCACTGAGCTGGGTGGGCTGTGGGTGGTGGGATGGGCTCCCTGATCATTTCTTCTTCCCAGGAAGTGGATCCCATTGAAAGCCACACCTTTGCCACCAGCACTCTCACACAGTTCTGCATCCTCTTCAAGAGGACCTTCTTGTCCATCCTCAGGGACACGGTGAGGTGCCAAGTTGGGGCAGATGAGGCTGGCATAGGCCTGGTCTTGTGGGCTGTAGGATCCCAGATGCTGGGGTGGGAATGGGGACCCTTCCTCCACAGCTCCCCACCACGATGCATCTACGTGTCAGGGAGGGCAGCTCTGAGTTCTTGTCCCACTGTGGCCTACCCATCCCTGGCCTATGACACATCCCCTCTCCTGGTGATGCCCCCTCCCACAGGTCCTAACTCACCTGCGGTTCATGTCCCATGTGTTGATCGGCGTGCTCATCGGTCTCCTCTACCTGCATATCGGTGATGATGCCAGCAAGGTCTTCAACAACACTGGCTGCCTCTTCTTCTCCATGCTGTTCCTCATGTTTGCTGCCCTTATGCCAACTGTGCTCACCTGTGAGTTAAGCTGCCCTGGGCATGGGGCGTGGGGGTGGGGGTGGGTGCCGGAGTATGGGGCAGGCACCAGGGGGCACCAGCTCCCAGCTGCTCCTAATCAGTGTGTGTCCTCAGTCCCCTTAGAGATGGCAGTCTTCATGAGGGAGCACCTCAATTACTGGTACAGCCTCAAAGCGTATTACCTGGCCAAGACCATGGCTGATGTGCCCTTTCAGGTGAGTCTCTTCCTCCTGCCTGCCCACTGCCGCCACCTTGCCTTGCTCTCTCCCTCCTTGCTTGCCTGCTTCCCTCAACCTTATCACTTTCCTCCCATTCTTTTCCTTCTACTCAGGAAATAGGTGGTGAGCACTCACCACCCACCAGGCTCTGAACCAGGCCCTAGGGGTGTAGCAGCGAACTAGACTGACCTTGCGGGACTTATGTTTTCATGGGAACAAACAGAAAATGATGAAAGTAATAACCCTGTTTTACAAAATGACTCTGTAAATCTTATCAGAGGCAGCAGACAATAGTGTAGACTCTGGAGCCTAACTGCTATTTGCTAGCGGCAAAATGTTGGGCAAGTCACCTAATGTCTTTGCTTCAGTGTCACCATCTATAAAATGGAATGACATTAGTGTCTACCTCAGGATTGTTTGTGAGCATTAAATGAGTTAATACACGTAAAGTACTTAGAATAGTGCTTGGCACATACTAATGCCAAATAAATGTGAACTGGTTTTTGTTGTTACTGCCACCACCATCGTGTTCCAAGCACCAGGGCCACCAGTAATCCATAGGGTACCTTTGTGCAAATTAGAAAAAGGTGCCCTTTGTCAGGTGGACACTGCACTGTGACAGTGCTTGGCTTAGTGAAAAGAGCATAGGCTGGATCTTGGCCTCTGGTTGTCTCTTGATTGGATGCCCTTGTGCAGGGAACAACTATACGTAGTAGGCTCAGTCCCTGCCCCCCAGGAGTTTGTTCCCCCCTACTGTCATAGGGGGAACAAAACACTCTCCTATGGACAGTTAATTAATTAACAATATAAGGAATAAGCTGGTCTGGATGGGAAGGACTTCAGGAGCTCAAAGGAAGGAGAAGTCACTGTGCCTGAACTGGTCAGAGTGGGCCCAGTGGAAGAGGTGAAGCAGGAAGATGAGTGAGGTTTGTATAGTCAGGGGACATGTGTCAATCTGGGGGACACCTTGAGCAAGAGTTTGCAGTCAGGATATGCATGAGCACTCTGGGAGTAGGTGTTCCAGGAAGCTCATACCCCGGTGCAGCGGAGGGTCTCAGCCTCTGTGCCCCTGTTGTGAAGTCCACTGCCCGGCTGTGGTCGCTCCCCAGGTGGTGTGCCCAGTGGTATACTGCAGCATCGTGTACTGGATGACAGGCCAGCCAGCTGAGACCAGCCGCTTCCTGCTCTTCTCAGCCCTGGCCACCGCCACCGCCCTGGTGGCCCAATCTCTGGGACTGCTGATTGGAGCTGCCTCTAACTCCCTGCAGGTGGGAGGGCTGGCATGCACGTGTGGATTCCCAAGGCGGGGTTGAGGTCTTGTGGGAGGAAACAGGGGCTAGCATAAGGGGTGGGATGGACCTACTGGGAAGCCCTGGGGCCACCCCAGTCCTGGGTCTGTCCTGGTCACCCCTATGATGGCGTGGCCGCCTCCCTTCCCCTCTAGGTGGCCACCTTTGTGGGCCCTGTTACCGCCATCCCTGTCCTCTTGTTCTCCGGCTTCTTTGTCAGCTTCAAGACCATCCCCACTTACCTACAGTGGAGCTCCTACCTCTCCTATGTCAGGTCAGTGTTCCTCTCTCCCCATTTACCCTGCTCCTCCCTGCAGGAGGCTGTGCCCGGGTCTTCCTGAGTTATGCCAAGTCTGGTGCCTGCCCTATTATTTTTTGGGTAGGGGCACCCTGGCAGGCCCCCAAGAGTGACAGCATTGCAAGTAGGCTCTGGTGATTGACCCAGGAAGCGGGGACCCTGTGCTCTGGATCCTGTTCTGATGTCTGTGCCTGCCTAGGTATGGCTTTGAGGGTGTGATCCTGACGATCTATGGCATGGAGCGGGGAGACCTGACATGCTTAGAGGAGCGCTGCCCGTTCCGGGAGCCACAGAGCATCCTCCGAGCGCTGGATGTGGAGGATGCTAAGCTCTACCTGGACTTCCTGGTCTTGGGCATCTTCTTCCTGGCCCTGCGGCTGCTGGTATACCTTGTGCTCCGTTACCGGGTCAAGTCAGAGAGATAGACCTTGCCCCTGGCCTGCACCCCAGCCTCCGCAGCAGGAAGCCCCGCCCCCAGCCCTTTGGGACTGTTTTAACCTTGTAGACTTGGGCACTGGTTGCTGGTGTAGCTGCCCTCCCCTCCCTCGGTCCTCCACAGGCTGGCTGATGGACTGTGCTTCCAGCCTGGGCCCTGGGAGGGGGGACACCAGCCCTCCCCACCTTGTCTAGGAGTCTTCCCAAATTGATGCTATTTGTAGCTTCCTCCCTACTCTCTCCAACACCTGCATGCAAAGACCACTGGGAGGCTGCCACCCTCCTCGCCCACGGCACCCTCCTCTGTTGTCTGCCTGGGAGCCCCAGGCTCTCCAGGATCCCACTTACAACTGACCAAAGTGGCCCCCTCTGGGGGTCCCCACCACACAAGTGTTTGTAAACTGGGCTGCTATAAGGTTGGAGTTCCAGGGCTGGGCCCTGGTGGGGTCCCCTGTAAGTCCCATTATGGACACAGGAGTGGAGCAGGGAAGGACTCTGGAAGTCTATTCCTCCTCCTCTCCTTCTCCCCACCCCCTGACCCTGGCTGATTTGGACAATCTGCTGGGACAGAAGCTGGGTTTTCTGTCTGGGTCACCACTCTCAATCCTGGGGATTAGAGAGGCCTGGGGCTTTGGGATGCCCTCTCCCACCTCCCTATCACCTTTGGTGGGGGGTAGGGCCTGGTGGCACCTCTGCAATAATGTCTGTGTTGCTCTCCCACCTGCCAGTGGATCTGGAGAATGCACTTTATTCTGGGGGGGGTGAGTGGGGCAAGACCCAACCCTCCTTTCTTGCTGCTCCTGATGCTCGGTCCCATGATGCTCCCTCCTTCTCTGGAGTGACAGGCACATACACGCGAACAGGCAATCTCAGCCCTACATGCTCGCCATCTCCTACAGTGCAGAGGAAGAGTGACGGTGTCACGGTGATAGTGTGGGGGTGCTGTGGGGAGTGCAGTGCCAACCTCCTCCTGGGGAATCCCACTTTGGAGACTCTAAGGATGAGGCTGGTGCTGCCCAGGATGTCTCCAGGATCTGCAGGTGTCTACCCGTCAGTCTTCCCTCCCTCCCAAGCCAGGGGTGGCACAGGGCACTAGCTCCCTGGAGTTCAGGACCCAACACAAGCACAAGCATGGGCATAAGTTGGCCTTGGCCACCACCACCCCACAGCCCTCCTTTTGTGCTCCACACTGGCATTCTCACTCCCCTACCACTTCCCCAGCAGCTTGCTGCTCATTCAAATTCCTGTCCATGTCCCTCCTCCCCTTCCCATCAGCAGGTGGCCCCTGGGCATCAGAGCAGCATGCCCTGGACACCAGGTGGCAGACACACCCAGAGCATGTGTGGCCTTCCTGGTGGGTCCAGGCTCATTCTGCTTCTGATTTCCCCGCCCCTGGGGCTCTTCTCTCCCTTGATTCTTATACACATCTCTCTGCACCTACCCTCACCCTGCCACAGGGTCTTCCCATCACACAGAGATGCCAGTTGTATTTGTGGGATTTCACCTGTTATTAATAAAACCTATATTTATACAGTATGCAGTGTGTAAATGTGGGGGCTCTGCCACCTGGTACCATGGGCTGTGAGGGGGGTCTTCAAAGCACTTAGCAAGATGTCTGTCAGTTTGGGGGAGTCTGTGGCAGGGGATGGTGAGTCCTGGGTATATGTCAAACTAGTGAATGTGTAGCTTAGGAAATATTTGTGTCATGCCTACAAATGCTTCATGTTCATTATCTCCAGGGAGTCCCATGCCAACCCTGTATATCCCTTATGACAACTCATTTTGCAGATGAGAGCACAGAGACTTGGGTTAAGTAACCTGCCCAATGGCCCTGGCTAGTGGAGGAGAGGCCAGGCCTGGAGACCGGGTCCTCTGCCTCCAGACTCCCATTCTTGGCATTGGTCAATGACACTTGTTCATGGTGGCTGTGCATGCTGCATGTGGGTGTTCTTGCCCAAGTGATACATGCCTCTCTCTTCAGGAATCACTGGGCCTTGGTTGTATCTATAGGGGAGGGGCGTGTTACTGGTCATGAAGGACAATGGGAAGCAGGAAGGACTCTGGAGCCACATGCTAGGATGGCATGGCAGGGACTTAATTGGGCATACTCCACCTTTCCCCTTTTCTTTTCCTCTTCTTTCCCATTGGGCCACACTTACCAGGGCTAGGCCATCACCCAACAGGACTGCAAATGGTTTAGTGGCGAGAGGTTTGAGGTAGGGAGGTGTCCAGAGGGTCATGAGGGCTGTTGGCAGGATGACCCAAGAAACGGTATATTGCTTCACCCTCTTCTCTCCTAGGCCCGAAGCTTGGATACTGAAGGAAACTACTGGCATCAACCTGCCAGTGGCCTGGAACACCCTAGTTGTGCCACATATAGAGCTAAGTGCCCTTGACTAGACTAGGGTCCAGTGCATGGTTGCCTGCAGATGGACTGACTTTTTTTCTAATGGGAGTTCTTAGGGTGGGAGTGGGAAGTGGGAAGAAGGCTGAGTCCTAGCTCCTGAAATTCTAATTAATTTTAAGGGGCACTCTGGGTGTCACCTTCTCCCTGGAATGATGCCAGTAGATGGCTTTTTACAAGTCAAAGGATATGAAATCCCACCATTAGGATTTCTTATGATTTTTCATCTTTACTCTTTTAAAATGCAAATATTCCTGAAATGGTTAAACATTTATAAACTCACATATTTATTTTATTTTATATTTATTTCTTTATAGGCAGAGTCTTACTCTGTTGCCCCTGCTAGAGTGCTGTGGTGTCAACCTAGTTCACAGAAACCTCAAACCCCTGGGCTCAAGCAATCCTTCTGCCTCAGCCTCTTGAGTAGCTGGGACTACAGGCATATGCCACCATGCCAGGCTAATTTTTTATATGTATTTTTAGTTGGTCAATTAATTTCTTTATATTTTTAGTAGAGATGGGATCTCACTCTTGCTCACGTTGGTTTCGAACTCCTGACCTTGAGCAATCCACCTGCCTCGACCTCTCAGAGTGCTAGGATTACAGATGTGAGCCATCGCCCCCCAGCCTATTTATTTATTTATTTATTTTGAGACAGAGTCTCACTCTGTCGCCTGACTAGAGTGCCGTGGCATCAGCCTAGCTCACAGCAACCTCCAACTCCTGGGCTCAAGCAATCCACCTGCCTCAGCCTCCCGACTAGCTGGGACTACAGATATGCACCACCATGCCTGGCTAATTTTTTCTATATATTTTTAGTTGTCCAGATAATTTATTTCTATTTTTAGTAGAGACGGGGTCTTGCTCTTGCTGGCTGGTCTCAAACTCCTGAGCTCAAACGGTCCTCCCGCCTCAGCCTCCCAGAGTGCTAGGATTACAGGTGTGAGCCGCCATGCCCAGCCCTATTTTTATTTTTTAATATTTGTTTATTTATTTTAGAGATGGGGTCTCACTCTGTCACCCAGGCTGGAGTGTAGTGGCACATTCATAGCTCCCTGCACCCTTGAACTCCTGGGCTCAAGGATCCTCCTGCCTCAGCCCCCCAAGTAGCTAGGACTGCAGGTGTGTGCCACTGGACCCACCTACATTCACACATTTATAATTTCCCTTGGTAGTTAACAAAGGCCAACAGCCATTCCAGAGCCAGCAAGAGCCATTCAAGCACAGAGACCATTTATAGAGTAGCTCACATATTTGCAAAGAGATCTTTTTTAATTCCAGCAGCACCCCCATGAGGTTGCTAGGATGGGCACTATCATTTCCTCCTTTAACGGAAAAGGAAACCAAGGCTTGGAGAAATGACTTGAGCAAGATACTGTATTCTTGCCACTGTGACCCACCTGCTATTTGTCTCACCAGTCCCATTAACCTGCTGACTTGGGGCATAAATGCACTCTGTTCATCTAACTATGTTTGAAATGGGGCTTTTCTCCCTAAGTGCCAACATGCTTGGACTCAGAGATCATCTTCTTTAATGCAGTCACCTTTCTGTGTCAGGGCCTGTGCAAAGTGCTGGAGGGCAGAGTTGACCAAGACAGTTTTCCACTCTGTAATTCTTAAAGCACCTGGTGTGCCATCCCGAGGTCAGACCACAGAGGACATCCCCACAGGATGACTCACAGTACTTCTGTCTGCAAGAGGCCAGTCAAATGATATGTATTAATAAAAGTGGCCGAGCACCGTGGCTCACGCCTGTAATCCTAGCACTCTGGGAGGCTGAGGTGTGAAGATTGCTTGAGTTCAGGAGTTTGAGACCATCCTCAGCAAGAGCGAGACCCCGTCTGTACTAAAAATAGAAAAACTTAGCCGGGTGTGGTGGCATGCACCTGTAGTCCGGGCTACTCAGGAGGCTGAGGCAGGAGAATAGCTTGAGCCCAGGAGTTTGAGGTTGCTGTGAGCTGGGCTGACGCCACAACACCCTAGCCTGGGCAATAGAGAGAGACTCTGTCTTAAAAAAAAATGTTATTAATAAAACCTACTTGCATTGCTTCTCACTGGAAATGAAAAAAATAAAATAAAATAAAAATAAAACCTACATAGTTGTCATACCATGGAGGAGGGGAGGAGGGAGGGAAACAGCTTGCTCTGAGCTGCCCCCAGGTGACCATCTGCCTCGGATGACTAGGTGAGTGGAGTGAAGCTAGAGTAGTCCCCTGGGGCCCAGAATGTCACCACTGAGACTGGTGTCTTGGGGACTGCTGCCTGAGGAACTCTACTTCCCCTCCCCCATCCCATTCTACTCCCCTTGAAGAACTTCTCTTAAAATGCAAATGTGTCATTTTCCCTGCACCCAGAATGTCTGTCCTTTCCTTTCTTTGACTTATTTTTTAATATCCAGTTCAAATGTTGGCTCCTCGGCCAGAGGCAGTAACTTCCTCTTCCAGGCTTTCCTAACACTGTCTCTGAAGTTGGTCCCACCAGAGGGCAGCTGCTGTGGTCTGGTACCGGCATGCCTTGTTCTGGTTGGCAGCCTAGGGTCTAGTGCTGGGCCTGGCCCAGGGGGTGAGGTGCACAGTACTAGCCCATTTCCACATGTTCAATGAAAGAAAAATAGTCAAAATGAAATATCAACATTGTCTTTGGATGGAGGGCAGAGATCATAACACCCTCTTGTCAGCCCTGCTCGAGAGCCTGCCTCTCTGTGAGTTCCCTATTGCACACCTCTGTTCTGTGGACACAGCACATCTGTGCTTGCATATGGAGGTGTGCCCTGGCTGTGGGTGGTGGGTGGCTCCTCCATCTGGGCCACATGAGCCCTGGGTGTGCCCTGTGTGGAAACACAGGGATGAGGGTGGGGGCTTGAAGGACCCGGAAGCCCCAGGGTTAGGCCATGATTGGGTGCTGGACAGGAGGAGCAGGTTAGGGTAGGAGCCGTCCCTCAGCCAGGTTCTTTCTCCTTCCTTGACCACGGTGACCAGAGGCCACACACAGAGGTCTGGGGGCTGAAGAGGGCCAGGTACAGAAGGGAGGACCCAAGGGGGCGTTAGGCTCAGGTCTCTGCTTGGAAGTAGGCTGCAGAGAGGTACAGAGGGAAGGATGTCATGGGGACTGGTGCCTCAGGAAGGCCCCGGGGTGAGATAGGAAGACCCAGGCTGGAGATTCCAGTTCTGGAATGTCCACTGCCTAATTGGGTCACCTGCTCGAGTCATTTCACCCTCCTGAGCTTCGGTTTCTTCATCTGTAAAATGGGCATAACATGACCAGCCTGCCAAGTGGTTAGTGAGGTCACCGGATGTGACCGGCGCTCGGGAACCTGCAGAGGGCAGTACTGGCGGCACGGCCAGGACCCAGCGCCGTGCCCTCGCAGGGGGCGGGGGCCCGGCGGGATGGGTGGCGCAGGAGTCCCCGCCCTGCGCCGGCTCTGGGGCACCGGCTCCCTCCCCGCAGGACCCCGCGGGCGGAGCGCCTGGGCCGGTCCTCTCCCGCGCGCTGCCAGGGCCGGCCGAGCTGCGTGCAGGCGGGCGGAGGCGGGCAGGAAGCGCCGCGCCCAGCGAGCCGGGGACTCTGGGAGCCAGCGGGAGACGCCGGCGTCCGCCCCGCCGCCCCGCCCGGGTAAAGGCCTAGCTGGCTCGGTCGCCCCTCCGCCCCTGGGGTGGTGCTGGGCAAGCGCCGCTGGGAGTCCGCGGCCCGGGAGCCGTTTGGGACCGAGTTTGGTGGGGAGCTCGGGACCCGTGGGACACTGCGCCGTACTTTTCCTGCAGTGCGCCCTCCTTGTCTCGCTGCCCTGGAGACCTGGGTGATCTGGACTCAGTAGCCCTGATGTGAACCCCAAGCCAGTTTCCCGGAGCTTTCTCGGTTTTCGGGGCTCCTTCCCCAGCCTCCGGACTCCCGCTCTGAGCGCAGTCAGCACCGCCTGCTAAGGCAGGTGCCCGTGCAGCCCATCCTCCGAAGTGTACCCTAGCCTCGACCGCGGGTCTCACGGGAGTCCAGGCCCAAACAGAAGCACGCTTTACTGAGGGAGCTGGGAGGGCTCAGGAAAGGCCTCTCAGGGCAAAAGGCCTTAGAGCAGGCTCTTAAAACGTTGGGTGGGATTCTAACAGAGGAGAAAGGTCATTCCTAACTGAGGAGAGGG